TCTACATTGAACACCTTCAAGAGCAAACTGGATGCTTATCTTGCTGGGATCCTATGACCCCAGCTGACTTCCTGCCCTTTGGGCAGGGGGCTGGACTTGATGATCTTCTGAGGTCCCTTCCAGCCCTAATGTCTATGACAAAAAAAAAAAAAAGAGCAGTCACTGAGTAGCTACGCGGAAGTACTACTTACCATTGAAAGAGTCTACCCAAAATGGAGACAGACACTGGCAGTGGCATGATATAAATGAAAAATGTATCAAAACCTATTTCTGCAGCAGAGGTTGAAGCAACAACTAATTATTAAAATAATTTCCTTACAGACCAGAGACCTGGGAAGACCTACCATTTAAGGATGAGACCCTGCTCCAGCTTTGAGTAGTCAGCAACAAGGAGGAGGAGGTGACAGCTGTTGAAGGAGGAACCAGTGGCCAAACTGTGCACATCCTCTGAGAGGTGGGCTGAAGCAACAGAGCAGTGTCAGGAACCTCGACATTACTACCACGATCAAAGCACTGCCCTGGTTGATAGGGGATCAGAGAGTCACCTGGGACATCCAAGTCTGTAATCAGGAGAATTGAACAGGTCTCCAGGCTTGCAAAGGAGATAGTTAGTTATATAGGTAGTGGACACCATCCGGGAGGGTCTCATGGAGGAGAGGGAGAGATATGGGTCTCTTGACAGTGATGATGAACTGCCAGACAGCAGTCCTGGAGGCTGCCTATAGGATGTCCACAGTGGGAACCTTCTATTATGACCAGCAGCCACTACCCTTCCTACAGTAGCACAGCAACACAGCCCACCCATCCCCTTCACTCACTGATGCCAGGCTCCACCATATGACCCCAAGTGTTCAAAGACAAAGTCCTTTCCTCCTCTAGACCAAAGTTTTCACCAACAGTTATCCATATTCCAATAACCCTTTGCATACTCTAGCTTGCTGTCAGTGTTTCATTAAGGGGACCCACCCTACCCCTCTAAGGACCAGTTAGTGTGCCTCATGGATCAAGAGCTGTCAGCACCCAAGGAAAACTTCTTTGAGCAGCTACAGTTCCACAGCAATGCCCTGAAAGGACAGGTGTTATCTTATTCAGGAGAGATTGGTGCTGCCAGAGATGCTCCCTTCCATGAACAACTCAACCCTCCAGCAGACCTAATGATGCAACCCAACACACTGGGGCTGAGCAGGAAGTTCCTCTAAAGATGGAAAAAAAGCACTTGAAAAATTTCTATCTGTACTTATCCTAGACCCAATTTTTGTAAACCACTGAGTTTTACCAGGTTGAAATTTAAGTAATTTCTGTTATTTGTTCATTAAAAAAAAAATTCAAGTTTTGGAACCTGTATTGTCTGTTATGAGTGAATGTATGCATGAGCAAATGAAACCCTCAAGCATGATGCCCCAGAACACCCTTGCACAGTCATCTAACCTTTCTCCATGATGTCTTCTCAGGCCACACACATACTATATAAGATGGAGGCATCCATCACTGTGATGGGCAGGTAGTGTTCATAAGCATCTAGCCCAGGGGTAGGCAATTATTTGGGCCTGTGGGTCATATAGGGAATTTTGGAGAGCTGTCACAGGCTGGGTCAACACCCCCCACCCCTAATCCCCATGCGACAGCTCACCAAACCTCCCTATGTGGGATTGGGCCTTGGGCAGGCAGGGAGCTGGATTGGGCATGGGTGGGTAGCAGCGTCAACAGGGGCAGCTCAGCCAGAGCCCCTGCCACCACCAACGCCACCTCCAGGCCACCCTTCTACCCTGAGGAAGGACTGGAGCTGCTGCCAAGTTTCGGTGTCAGTGGCCAGGGTGTGGAGGAACCAGCGTCCAGGCAGAAGCTGCTGGGCACTGGGAAAAAGTGAGACCTGGCAGCAGGCACTTGCTGCTGCCAGGGCCCTTCTCACTGCAGCCGCCTTTAGTCTGAGCTGCTGCCGCTGCCACCACCCCAGTGGGCGCAGGGGCCCGGGGCAGCCTGGAGGGGGTGCTGGTGGCAGCAATAGGGAGGAGCTGCAGGGCAGCCCTGGCACAGGCTGTAGGCAGCCACAGTGAGAAGGCTTCTGGCAGTGGCAAGCAGGAGGTGGCCACGCCTCCTGCCACATCCTGTTTTTTCTTGGTGCCCAGCAGTAGCTTCTTCCCACCTTATCATGGGCCGGGCCACATCTCTCTCTCTCTCTCTCTCTCTCTCTCTTTACCCCCTCCCCACTAGAACCATCCTAAAGCTACGGCACACCACAATCCAAAATGGCCTAGCCCTGTCCATAGCTTACACCACTTCCTACCCCATGTGCTGGCACCAGTATCAGCTGTGGATGCTGCTGGCAGATACCCACTGGGGATCAGGGCATCCACTGCTGATGCCAGCATCCATCCAGCACTGCTTCCAGTGTGTGGGGCAGGAGCTGGAAGCTGGTATGAGGTACAGACTGGGCCAGGACACGCCCACGCACCAGCACAACGCAGCAGCTGGAGCTGCCAGCTCCCCATGGGCCGGACCCCATGACTTTGTGGCTGCTCACCCATGGACCAGATACAATCAGGAGGTGGGCCGTATTTTATCCACCCCTATTCTAGCCCTTCATCATGGCCTGTCACTTCTTCTTGAGTCTTCCAAAAGCGCATTCCACAACCATGTGGCAGCTGCTGAAGATTTAATAAAAGAGTTCATTTCTGTGGGCCAGAAATGTTCTGTAAGGTTTCGTCAACCAAAACTTCCATCAGGAGTATATAAGCAGGGTGAACAGGAATAAGGCGAAGGATGGTGGCACCATTTATTTCAATGCAGCTGTGACATCTATGACACTCTAATTGAGGTTCACCATACCCTGCAAAACACTGGAGAAGAGTCCCTAGCTATTTATGTATTCTAGTGAATGGTGTATTTTGAGCAGGGCTCAGAATGGGGGCATGCACATTCCTCCCCACCCCCCATCTGCTCTGGTGCAGTTAATGCAAACCATACGGGAATATTCTTTTAAGATTTATGGGACATCTCCATACCTGTGCACACAACCTTCATGGCTTTCTTGGCAACTGATTTGACAGTGCCAGACTATGGGCCGGAGACAGTTTGCCAGCTTTCGTCTTCTATTACCACAGTAAAAAGGACTCGTCTAAAGGTAGACTCGGTGGTCTACCTTTACAGCTCCAGGAACAGATATACGCAGATCTCCAGAAATGTACCCCTGGTCATGCTGTAGTGATGCCAGTGATGATCACCCTGGATCTGCGGCCATATTCTTTCAACCAATCCAAGTTCACTTACCTTGTTCAGTAACTGCAGGGCAGAAAGGACATTTGTACCCAAGCAATATTGTCCATGTTGGTTTGCAGAATAGTGTCATCCTTCTCAAGAATGAAGTCATCACTGTCTGCCTCTCCTGGCCATAGAAAACCATCTTGCACAGCAGGCCAAGAAAAAGAGTGACTGAGAAGAGGTAGTGAAACAGTCAATGCAACTAACCCTTGAACACAGAAAAACATGCAGCACTGAAGACTTAGTGTGAAGGGAACAGTGAAGTGATCCGATTGATATTCTCATCACAGATTCCTAAGATCTACTGGATTCAGACTGGATTCCCAGAGAACACTCCCAGAAGCCACTGGATAGACCCAGTTGCAGATTATACTCAACGGCTTACCAATGCCTAGTGGCAGGGCATCATAATAGCCATAAATGCTATGGGGTTCACTCCAGTGTAACTAGCTAGGTCCTGGTTGCATGTTCACTGCATCTCAAGGGTAAATTTACTCTGGCATATATACTGGTGTAAATTTCTTCAGTGTAAACATGTTGTGTATCTGCACCTGTTTGCATTCCTGGAAAGGAAACTGGCAACTTTTAAACAGTACACACCATCTTTTAGATTAAACATCAGGAATATTGCACAATATAGTTCTTCAAAAAAATTCTCTCTTCCAACAGTTCACTAGCCCTGACTGTGTTTAGCATGAACTCCTATAAGATAACAGGCTGGGCTAGAATACCTGCAGGATATCACAAAGATATTATGAGCATTTTTCAGAACTGGCAAAATGAATTGGTACTGTTTGTGCAGGTGTATTCCATTTGCAGCTGGTCTTTGATAGGGAGCAAGAATAATTTTCTTTAAAATTAACTTAAAACAGTGAAACAATTTAGTTGCTCATATGTCAAAAATGGTGGGGATGACGAACTGATTATAGACCTGGCCTAGCACATCATTCCTGGCTATTTGACAGACTGGGGTTACATTATGTTTCCTGGATAATATTTGTATATATGCTGTACCTACAGGAAACATTTACCTGTCTTTTTTAGGCTAGAATGGCTCTGTGTAAAATACTGGGTGTCCATACCAAAGCTGCTCATAATTAGCTTTGAGTTATTTAATGTATTGTTCTTTCTTTATTTTTTTTAATGGACCCATCCTGGTATCTCATTATACATAACAAAAATATAAATATATCATGACGTGGTGAGTCTCATTTACAATAAATAGGATTGAAAAATATGGATTTTTTCCATCCGCTTTGGAAGACTGTTCTACAAGTTAGAAGATTTTGTGGCCAGGAAATCTTTACTGATGTTCACTTTAAATTTTCCTTGTCTTATTTTCATCTCATCACTTCCTGTTATATATTGTTACTATGCTTTATAGAACTTTTCTTTCTTGTTTTTTAGGGTTTTTATATTTTTACCCTTCAAATTCGTATAGATGAATATCATATTCTCTCTTGCACTTATCAAGTCTAGTTATACTTACTGAGTTATTTTAATCTTTCCTGCTAAAGTAATCTTTCAGCCCATAAAGAGGTAGAATATAATTTTGATAGTAGATGAAAGAAAGATGCATAGCTGTTCTGAGATACTAATCTATTTTAAGTCATTCTTAACTGAACAAAACAATGATTTATTCTTAAGTAACTGACACTTGAACATATGATTGTTTTCGTACATATTAACTTACATTTACAATTATTCACATGGGGTTATTGACTTTATACTATCTTTTTCAGTGTCACACAAATTATATTCCTGTTTGTGGATCAAATGGAGACACTTACCAAAATGAATGCTTCCTCAGGAGAGCTGCTTGCAAGCATCAGAAAGAGATAACAGTGGTAGCAAGAGGACCTTGCTATTCTGGTATGTAAGACATGATTATGCTTTGTTAGTAAATAATATTATGGTTTCCCATTGTTTTAATGCATTTTCTAGAATTAAGTTGCAAAAATATGGAGAGCACAGATTACCTTTACTTTTGAAGTATAGTAATAAGAAGTACAGGCCTTTTTGTATATGTATTAACCAATCAAAAATATTTAAAAGGAAAACATATTCTGTCTGGGGAAACAACTGGTGAATGATTCTTACTCATCAGAGAAGCTTTATGTCTTAAAAGGCTTAAGACCAAATTGCACAGACTCCATGTGGGTCTGTTTTCTATGAATCATATTTTGGGTGTACAGAATTGGGCTATATCCAGCAAATGGTTTACCCACCATTCTTATACATATATGGAGTCCTACTGAATGTAGTGGATCACAAGAGTTCTCGTAGGTGAACCCCATTAATAAGATCTTGACTTATAAATTTGCAAACAACCACATATATGTTGGGAAGTCAGTAGCTAATATAACCTGCTTCTGGCAAATAAATAGAAACAACAAACTGAAAGCTTTGATCTTATTATCTAGGCAGGCCATTTGCCTGCTGTGTAGATTTCCTGTCTATTATAAGTGATAGCTTTTCTGACCTGATTTTTATTCAGTGTTAATACAGTATCAGGATACGCTTAATGAGTCTGATGCTGTCCTGAGCATGTCTTGTAGTTTCCTTTTTTCTCCTTACTCCTTTTTTGGAACACACTGCCAAGTGGCCTAATCATTTTGGATGGTTCTTTTAGAGAGATAAATCTCCCTTCAAGAAAACTGCTTCTGTGTCCAGGCTTCCGTTCCACCTGCCCATGAACTGGATATGATGGGCTTTGATTTAGCAACATTAGTGGGGAGGCAAATGTATGTACTATGGGCTAGCTAACTTCTTTTCTAATTATTCTGGACAGCTGTCCATCATTCTGCCTGTAATTCAGGCCTGTGACCTTGGTGTGTGTCATCTTTGACGCTGATCTTACTATCTTTTTTCTTCATAGCATCTTTAAGAGGGCTTTTTCTATCCATCTGCACATGTAAAACTCTTGTCCAGGCTTTCCCCATCTCACATCTTGATTATTCCAACATTTTTTTTACTATGATAAAGGCAGGCTTACTCTGCCCATATCTGTTTAGAAAGCAATGCTAAAATTGTTTTCCTAGCCTTGTGCTTTGACTACCACTACTTTGTGGGCATCTGATCAATGACTCTACACATCGAAGATAAGCTGCCTGTCTGCACTTTTTAAGGCTCTTTGCACCCTGTTCCCATCATACTTATCTTCCAGTATCTCTCCAGTATGGAGAGGTTGACTCTTACCTCCAGTCAGCCCTACAGCACTGGTTTGTTAGATTTTCAAAGAAACATCACCATACTTTCTTTCATGCTTTCTCTTGCTTGATAGGAACTCCCCATAACTAGCCACAAAACTGCTTTATTGTCCTCCTTAAAACTGTCTGTCCCTATGATACCTACAAAACACTTGACAGTGGCTACTCTGCTGAAGTGCTGAGACTTCTGCCTATCATGCTGACAAATGTCTCATTATTTCTTGGTACTATCCCTTCTTTCTGTATCCATTTGGTATCTCTTGTCCTAGACTATAAAATATTTGGGACAGGGACTGCCTTTTTTCTGCATTTGTACAACACATAGGAGTGTGGTACCCTGGTCTATGACTGGGACTCCTCCATGTCACAATAGCATGAACAACAACATTAATTTTATATTACTCAAATCCACCCAGTCTAAATGACTGTTGCGTATTAAACTTATAGTTTTATTTTCAGGTCCTAAATGTTATCAGAATGATTGAAAAAGACAGACAGACAGACAACCCATATAACAGAATGCCAGTCAGAGGTCTTGGACACATTGTTAGAACTCTCCTGAATCTATGCACATATTTCAAGGATTATGAAGCCAGCTGACTAAGAGGCAGGTGGCTGGCTTCCTCAGAACTGGATGATTCAGAAAGTAATAGCAGCAGCTGCATTCTAAGACATCAGCAGATAAATAATGTGCCGCCTATCCATTCCTGAAAGACATATTTGGGTTTTTAATGAGGTGGAGCAGGGGTCATCAATATTTTCCAGTGGGAGGGGGAAAGGAGGGAGGAAGGGAGGCAGAATGGCCCAGCTTGGGTCACAGGTGGATAGGCATTGGGACCCATTGACTACTGCCACTTCTCTGTGAAATTCATCTGTGCTATGGCACAACAAAAGCCCCACTCCGCCAGAGTAGATGTGGCTTGGGTGATGTGGCATGGGTGGAGCTGCCCCTTCACCAGAGCCCTAGGTGGTTTAGTGCCATGCAATGTAGGGAGGACCTTCTGCTGCTGAATGCTGTCAAAGCCAATGGCTTCACAACCCAGGAAGCTTTTGGTTCTAGCTGGATTCAGCCTGTGGGCCATAGGTTGTTGACTTCTGAACTAAAGGTTCGCTTTACTGTCCTTTTACAAACTCACGGGATGTCTGCCTTCACTGTATGGCTGAAGCTCATGCTGACATATGTGAGCTAACTATACAGTAGCTGGGTTAGGTACTGATAACACTGTAGCTGCAGCAGGATGGAGTCCAGCATAGCTTGTAAAAACCACCTGAGAAGCTGTGTGAATACTTCAGCTGTTGCCCAAGCTGAGCACTGTTGCCACGGCCACACTGCTAACCATATCCAGGGCAGGTAATTCAAAGCTAGCTCAGGAATGTTTCCACAAGCCACAGTCAGACCGTCACTGTAGTGAAAGGATATTCTGAAATGTGGGTCACTAAGATTCCCAAACTCTCCAGAGTCTGGAGAGATGTGGGTTCAATGCCTAGCTCAGTCGCAGGTTCTCTCTGTATTTGGGGCACTTCACTTATTCTACACTGATATGAATTCCTCATCAGTATAATGGGGTTAATACTTCCCTAGCTCTGAGAGGTGTTGACAAAGTGAAATGCGTTAAGAATGGTGATGCATTCATATAGCGCAATAATAAGCATCATATAAGTAGATAGGCTTAAACTGGGTCTATAGGAATAATTGAGTTTTGGTTTCAGCAGCAAAATAGGAAAAAAATAATTTTAGGTCAATATAAAACAGAAATTTTGTTTAGAGTCAAACAAAAAATAAATGAAACATTTCTTTTTTTTGTTTTTGGATCAAAGGAAACATTAGCTGGGTCAAAAGAAAAGATTTGCTTAGTTGTCAGGTTATTTTTACCTATTTTTAATAGAGATACCCTGATATATCAGTTGCATATTGGATCGACATTAATACAAGGAAAATTAAAATTATCAGCTATCGGCCTTTTTTTGGCTGGTATAGCCGATAATGTCACCGATAAATGCTGCGTGCATGTGCACAGCTGCATGCATGCACATGGCCAGGAATGCAGCTGGGCAGCTTGGAGAGCAGCACCCTGCCAGTAAGTCTGTGGGGGGGGAAGGGGCGTCAGGGGGCAGATAGAGGGCCCCACAGTGAGGGAAGGAGTGGTGCAGTGTCAGGCAGCTAGTTAGTTAGTACATGCTCAGAAGAAACATTTGAACTTTGTTGACAATTTTCTTTATTTTATTCAGTCTAAACTATTTATCTAATTTAGCCTTGATTCATGAATTGTTCCAGTTGGCCAGATATTGCATATTTTGATGAATAAACTGTTTGCCCCCAAAAAATCACTTGGCCATAATTTGAATCCAAATAATTCAAAATTACTAAATGGAACAGAGACACCTTCATCTAAATAAACAAGTAATCTCCATTTTCAATGCTTTGCAGATTACAAACAATCAAAGTCCCATAGCCGAGAACATTTCAGTCAAATACCTCATTCAGCTCTTCAGTTCTACAGTTTTGCAGTTTCTACTGACAAGAGAATCTAGGTCCTGGGTGGAAACTTGTCTTTGAGAATCTTGGTTGTGTTGTCATCCGGTGCCTTTGTCATACTCTTCAGGGGAGCAGCCCGTGTAAAATGTCCTCACATTGTCTCTATGTGTGAGGGCTTGACACAGAGTTCTACTAAAGCTTCACTTCTGAATGCAGCCAAGCAAGTGAAAGCTTACATGGCAGCCAGAAACAGATCCAGGATTTTAGAAAGGATGCAGTTGCAGGGACCATTGTTGCAGGGGTAGCTTCATCCCTCACTCCCAGCTTCCTCCCCTGCAGACAACACTGCAGGAGGAGCAGGCAAGGACTTAAGCCAGGGGCGGGCAATTATTTTGGGCGGAGGGCCTCTTACTGAGTTTTGGCAAGCCATCAAGGGCCTCATGACAGGCAGCCAGGGGCAGATGAATATTACATTTTCTAAATTTTTTAGGGGCCCCACAGGCCAGATAGAATGCCTGGTGGGCTGCATCTGGCCTGCAGGCCACATTTTGCCCACCCCTGACTTAAGCCCCAGGGAAGGTAAGTATTCCCCACTTCCCTTCCCCCCCCCGTGCTCAGCGGTATGTCCCTGCCTCTTTCCTCCCCACTCTACCCCTTCCTATTCCCCCCCTCTCTCCTGGCTGCTGCTGCCAGTTTCTGTGCCCTCCTGGAGTGAGGGAAGCTCATGTGCCTTCCACCTGGACTGCATGAGAGCTAAGGTCACTGACACATCCCCAGAATACAGGACATCCCTTTGGTTAGGGGTGTTCTCACTTGACCAATCAGTAGTGAGGGAAGGGGCTGCTGCCTGCGTGGCCAATCAGCAGTGAAGGTGGGGCCACAAGTCCCCTTTGCCAATCAGCAGCAAGGGGTGGGGCCACCCCAGAAAGGCCACCCTACCCCTCGCTGGCTGGCTTGAAATCCTGCTCCGCCTGGCTGCGCACTGCCCTAACTCTAGGCACAGCCAATAGAATCACAAGGTCAAATGATTAACATGTATTTCCACCAATGAACTGAAAAACAAGACTTTTTGCAATCCGTTCCTAATTCAGAAATAGATAGAAGACAAAGTGTTTAAAACAGGACAGTCCAGTATAAAACAGGACCAATGGCCACCCTAGTGTGGGCTGTGCCCACCTGGGACTGCA